GAAAGAGATGGATGTATTGTATGGGTCTTGTTTTAATTCATATAATTCTCTGTAGCTCGGAGTCTTGCTTTCTAATAACTGCAGTTGAGTAGGCAAGAGTTTGGCCAGGTAAAACCTTGTGTCCCAGCCACTGAGTGTGGTTATAAATTTACAGAGATTGATGGGAAAGGGTTTGCGTAAATTATTCAGCCATGAATTTAAATTGCCTTCAATTGGTAATAAAACACTTGTAATGTTAATGCTGTTATTAAGTCATCGCATTTAACTCTTTCCGTGTGTGACTATTTCACACAGTGTTTGGACATGTTTTTGTGTTCCTTAATTAAACCAGGAACCACAGCATTTTTCAGGATAACTCCATCGTCCTGGCAAAACTCTTTCTACTCCTGCTAGTTCCAGTTCACAAGAATCATGAACTGACATACACTCTTCATCTTACCTGGAACGACTCACTTCCTCCCACTGTGGGTCTCCCCAGACTTGGTTACAAGTGACAGGAGCCTACACCAAAATTATCTGCGTTTACTTTTTAGACCGTTGACTGAAACGCCATAAGCATTCCCTCCCTCTGCGACACCAGTTCAGTGACGGGTCTTGACGCCCTATCTAGGACACGCATCCAAGTCTGCACTGATCAGTGTCTTAAGTGCTAGGCCTCCCAAGCAGGACCGGGGGCCCGTGTGATGCCTGCCAGGGGGTGAACCAGGATTTGCTGTGCACGTGCCTTAACCCCCATACTCTCTCTCTGCTGTCTAGACCTTGTACTCTGGGGAAGCACCTGTGCTACGCTATACCACCCACCCACCCACCGGCTCCGTCAGGCCCTCTCATGGGACCTTTCATCAGGTCAGTTCTGATTCCTGTGCATTCGTGGCAGAGGGACTTAATAACTGCAGCTCATCCGTTGAGAAAGGAGGTTGTTAGACAAAGCGAAGTGGGGAAAAAGCAGATTTCTCTCTGCTTCAGTAACTTGAGTGTCTCCTCTGGGCTCTTGCTTCCATTCCCTGGAAATGTGCCGAGAAGAGGTGTCCGTGTCTAACAAACTAGTAAAATGGGGGTGCTTCAAATTGATTGATGACCGTTGGTGCTGTAAGTTTCTTTACATTGGTTATTTCCCCCTTTTTGTTGGATATTTCCCGCTTTGGTTGGAAGGCTTATGGGAGTGGGGTACGTTGCTGGTCATTTCAATAGCAAAGGAGACGCTAGGGAAAGGATTAGCCCTCGGGAGTCACATCTAAAAAAAAAGCTCATTCCTTTCAAAGCCCATCTCTATAGAGAACGTCTGACATTCTAAAGTATCTTCTTCCCTAAGAGTAGTGATTATATTTTGTTTATAACCCTATTTAAAAGTGAAGAAAGCGACCATAATCTCGGTTTCCATTTTGTTCCTGTGCCTCAGCCACTAAAGATATGGGCTCTCCTTTTCCAGATTTCAAGTTCAGGAAGCCTCTGAGAGGAGTAAGGGAATTGTCAGGGGTGATTACCGGGAAGGGCCTTTATCTTTCTGGTCGCTCCCAGCTGTGCTTGTGGTACCAAGGAGCAAACCCAGAGCCTTGGTCTGCAATTTGAGTCTCGTTCCCAGCCCTCTAAAAAGTTTCAAACAAGGGGGCCCAGAAGGGAGCGTGGGGGTAAGACATTTTTCCCTGCTGGTGGCAGACCTGGGCTTGATCCCTGACACAGTACATGATCCTCGAGCACAGCCGGGTGTGGCCCAAAAACCAAAATAATGGTAACTCTGGCAGTAACTAATTGAAGACATTCATATATATCGTAATTGGGTAGGGCCACTTCTAGCAGTGCTCAGGAACTGTTGCTGGCTCTGATCAGAAGTGGCCCCGGTGGCTTGGAGGAACGTATGTGGTGCTGGGGATTGAACCAGGATGGGCAGCAAGGAAGGCCAGTATGCCTTAACCCCATGTACTCTCCCTGGCCCGCGGGGTCGTTCTTTCAAGGAACTTGTGGCTTGGTCTAGATTTACCCAGACACCGTGTGCTCTGGGGAGGGGAGCTACAACGCGGAAGGGCCAGGGGAGGGTATAACTGTCCCAAATATTTGTATAATTACAAATTATTATTCGTATTACTGCCGTGTTGATACGCTGTATCTCCTGCCAGGAGAAGTGTTCAAGTCAAAGCCGGAAACAAAAGGTTCCTTAAAGACCCTTGGGGGGCTGCTAAGGCATGAACGTGCTCCCATCCTTGGCAATGGCTCTGACAGCAAATTGGGAGGGGGGTGTCTAGACGCTTGTGGAAATGAGCAGATTTCAAGAATTAGCATCACTAGTATTGTCGGAAATCTGCTTTGTGAAAACAATAGACTTGACTCAGAATGTTCTGTATATGTAGTGTAAATTTTAATTGGGCTTAAAACATTTTTTGTACAGTATTTTCTAGTAGCAGTGTCACTATTTTATTTACATGGCTCAGTTTTCGCTTTTTGTAGGTTGTAAATTTGTTTTGTTGGGGCGCCATGCCCAGTGGTGCTCAGCCTGTGGTGACTGTATGTAGTACCAGGGGCTGAACCCAGGTCCCACAGGCAAGACAGCCCTGTGATGCTGTATTATCGCTCCGGCCCCTAGTTGTTGTTAAGCTTTCTTATGTTCATACCCAGTTTTGCAGGCCCCGTAGTTAGGTAAAGTAGGATCCTACCATGCAATGAGGTAATTCATTTAGAGGAATTAAAATTACGTTTCAGCAGCGGCTGGACACTGAGAATTCCTGTTCCATAAGAGAGGGCTTTTTTCTTTCTTTCTGAGCTGCAGTTTTGTCTGTTAGGTATTTTTTTGTTTTTCTATATAGATGAGTAGGACGGGGGGGGGGGGGGGGGGGGGGGCAGCACTTCCAAATCTTCTGTTTTTTTCTTGCAAGGTTGATCTGCTTTTCTTGAAGGCAGGGAAAGCCGGTAACGACTGCCCTGTGGGTACATCTTTGCTCTGAAGTCTAGTAGATTGATTAACTTGGAAAGCTCCAGAAGGAACTGCTAGATTTGAGTTGATAAAGCAAAGAGAAAGAAGCAAGGTGTTTCATTGTAAGCTTGGGTGTCTTGTCATTTATGTTGATGCCTAGACTATTGAAAATTAGCCTGGTAACATTCCTATTTCTGGAATTTTACTGTTGGGTGACTTTCTAAAGGACCTAGTTCATGAGAACTCTTTTCATTCAACAGTTAAGTTTTTTTTTTTCCTCTTTGGGTCACACCTAGCCATGCTCAGGAGTGAATCCCGGCCTCTACACTCAGGAATTACTCCTGGCGGTGCTTGAGGGACCATGTGGGGTGCCGGGGATTGAACCCAGGTCGGCTGTGTACAAGGCAAACGCCCTCCCCCTGGACTATCGTTCCAGCCTAGCAATTGATTTTTCAAAATTTGGAAGTGTAAACTGTCGAAAAGATGGTTCTGAATTATTTCATCATAAACTTCAGAGTGGATTTGCCCATGAATGCCTTTTTTTTTTTTTTGTAGTAGAAGGGATTTTCAGGCCTGCAGTTAGCAGGACAGACTTATTGGACACATTAGAACAGAGCTGGCCGTAGTCTGTCTCCAACCTAGCAAGGAGTTCCGGCAGTGAGAAGCTAATCTGTGTTCAGCTAATCAGTGAACGCGAGAGTTTCTTTCTGCCTCACTTTGGCGGGTGCTTCATAGGGACTATTAAATTGCTTAGAGGTGTTGCTTACTTGGTTAGGTTTCTCTCCTCCCCCCCCCTTTGGGCCACACCTAGAGATTCTGAGGGAACAAGTACAGGTCATTGAACAGAGGTTGGCTACAGGCATGGCAAGTGAGTGCCTTATTTGCTGGGCTATCTCTCTGGCCCCTCTTACATTTTTCATAGTTAAGATTGATTTGGAGATTTTAAGAACGAAAACTGATAGGTTCTCTCATTACATTTGGATTAGTTGACTTAATTGTGGCTTGCAGCTGGATTTGGACTTAGAGTAGCAGGCGTTACTTAATTAGAAACCCAGATTTGCAGATAGTAAAGATGCCTGATGATTTGGTTTTTGCTTATGATATCCTTTTTTTGTCTTAGACATACTTTCTATTCTACAAATGTTGGTTTGGGCTAGAAAGCATAGGTCACTTTCGGGACCATAAAAATTCTCAACTGCCAGAGTTTCATTGGTTTTAATTAATCTTGGTTTTTGCTTTTGCATTGTAGGGACCACTTGCAGCAAAGCTTGGGGGTCCCAGGGCTGCTCTCACTGATGCTCACCTGGTGGTAGTTCTCTCTCCCTGGCCCCCTTAATCTTTGTTCTTAGAGAACTTAGGAAAATAGATCTAAATGTCTGTCTTGATATATCAGGTGTCTTCATTTTTCATTTCCTTACGCACACAGGCTTTTCATTTGTCAAAATGATCCCCCAATTTCTCTAGCTATATAGTAACTAGTTCTCTTCGCTCTGGTGCTGAGTGCCCGGCTTTTCCCATCTCAGCCTTCATCTCATGACCTTGACGGAGCGCCCTTCTGGGTGTGCAATTGGCTGGGGGCAGCTACTCAGCCATTAGCGTCTTGAGTTGTGTAGAATGCAGAAACTTTCAAGACTCTTTCTTTAGAAATGCCATTATAATGTGCAGGTTAATTGTACGACAACAGAAAGTTATTTTCCTGACCTTCAGAATTATGTGGTACTGGTGCTAAAATGGTCTACAGTTTTCAGAGGTTCAACATCAACAAGGAGAAAAGCACTTGTGCTTGATTTTTAAGTCATTGGTGTTACTAAGTAGTTCTTTAAGTTCATCAACAAACTTTTTTTTTTTAAGTCTAATCAGAATTGTGCCAGATTAGACTAAAACTCTATAGTAAAGTGTCCTGTTTAATAGATAAAAAGACCAGAGCACTTATTTTTCTTGTTTACTTTTAAGTATTCAGAATGTACTGGCTAAGGTATACCTACTCACCTTTTCTGTCAGACTGGGCCAGGGTTTGTGATCTACCATCAGTGGAATTAGTAAATATTACAAGTTGTACATGTTTTGACTTGACTTAAATTTTTTTTTCCAATAGAAACTATGTTCCAACTTCCTGTCAACAATCTTGGCAGTTTAAGAAAAGCCCGGAAAACTGTGAAAAAAATTCTTAGTGACATTGGGTTGGAATACTGTAAAGAACACATAGAAGTAAGTAGCATGTCATTTTTTAATTTTAACATGACTCAGCTTCTAAACAATTACTTTGTGTCAGCAGTCAGGATGGTTCGTTCTTAGATGTGTGATTCTCAATTTTTAAACTCAGCATTAGCTTCACCAGAGCTCTCTCGGTTAGCCTAACTTGCTCCCTTCTCCCTAAAATGGGCTTTTTCATCTTTGCTTCCCAAAGCAAAAGCAGCTACCATTGAGGACATGCACATATCAGACATTTACTAGGGGGTTTGGGGGCGGGGGTGGTCTCTGAAGGCACAAATTTTCAACATTGGGGTGGAGGAGAGATGTAGGGTTTCTTGCCACCGACTTTACAGATGAATCAGTGAAGAAATACAGCTGCCTCCCCACAAAGTGTGTGGCAGGGTCCATCTGTGAAGCTTCAGAAGAGTGTTCTCATTTCTCATACACCTGATAGTTCTGGTTGAACTGATACTAGACGTGGTCGTTTGGGTGCTTGTCTCTTTCCTGAGGGGTTGGAGTGTTGGCCCTTTTGACCCATCATAAATGGCTATCTTCTCCTTGTAAACAGTTGCAGACAAACTGTCTAGTCTTTTTATTCCGTGAGCTTTATGACAGCCCTGAGGGTTAGCCTGTGCAGTGGTTTCCTTGTCCAGATCACATTGCTCTGGGTCTTACGGTTGGTTGATCAGTGTCTCTGATTGAACTGTTTAAATTTATTTTTCGCACTAGCCTTTAACTCCCAGCTGGTCAGATACCATAATTACTTGTCCATCTGTGTGTTCCTAGCACCAAGTACAGTGCCAGGCACACAGTAGAGGCTCAGGCAACTTTCAGAAGGAAATGATGTGAAAGGCAGTTCCTCTCTGCAAAGGTTTCTTTTCCTGAGGCCCACGCATAGGATAGTATTCTAGGCATGTCTCTTAGGAAGACTGGAGGCTTCTCTAGCTCAGCTGTCCTCGGTGTGAGAGGTCACTCCGTTCCCTCTTCAGCCTTCAGACTCAGGAGGATCGGCCCATGTTATTGAAACAGTCTGTTCACTTTGCCCTCCGGATAATCTTGCCAAGAGTACATAATGCAAATGTCAAGGTACTTTTTTCGAACCTGCATTTGAGTTGTCCCATCCATTACATATTCTGGAATTTACCAATGCTGGTTTCCCTGCATTGAACTGTGTCTTTGAGGGGCAAGAGGAATTTTACCCTATAAGACTTGGTATCATTCTAGCCTGATAGGAAGTAGTCTGTTAGATTTTAATACAGGCAAAAAATTAGCATAATACTGCTTATCGTCTTTAAATAGCTTTCTTTTTGAGTTTAGAAGTAATGTTTTCTTCTCAGTTCACTCTCTACCCACCCTGCGGGCGGGGGGGGGGGGCCAGTCTTCCCCCTCTCTCCTTTCCATGGAACCAGAACGTCATGTCTGTGGTAGAAAGTGAACATTGCTGTTTTACACTGTATTCTAAAATTGCATTGAAGAGCTATAGTGCTCTAAAAGAAAACTCCTTTGGCATTAATATGTGGCAGAATTTTTTTTAGCTTCCAGTGGTTTCCTTGGAAACACGGCTGACCATTAGGGGAGTGTCTGGTCCTGGTCCGTATAAATGTTGGGCGCAGCTCCCACGCGCCCTTGGTATCTCCTGCAACCCTTGCCGCTCCTAACGACTTCCTGGTGAGGCTGGTGTTCCTAGCACCCCCCTAGTTAAAAGATAGGGTGTTCACGTATCAACTAGGACTAGAGTTGATACCACTATGCTCTTGTAAACTTCTTTCACTGTTTTCTAGGACTTTAAACAGTTTGAACCTAATGACTTTTATTTGAAAAACACTACATGGGAGGATGTAGGACTGTGGGACCCTTCACTTACAAAAAACCAGGTAAGTGGCCCAGAAACCCCATCACGTGGTAGCATCCTTTCCGCTTATGACCTTTCAGCTTTCAGGGCTGCATTGTTGGGGGGGGGGGGGGGGGCGGGCAGATCTAACATGGAAAACGGTAGGGTTGCCTATTTCTTAAAGAGGTTGGGGAATGTAGGAAGAATGTTTCGCGCTTCCCCCCCCTCATTGGATTAAACAAAGAGGAAACTGGGTTATGTAAGAGTTTTGAAAACTATTGCATATATCAGCATTTTACTCTTCACAAAATTTTCCCTCTAATGTTTTTTTACAAGTAAATTGTCAGGGTGGGGTTTTTTTTTGTTTGTTTGTTTTTCTTTTTGAGGGTTTTTGTTCACTTGCTTGGTTTTTGGTTTGGAGTGGAGAGGGCACACCCAGGGTTTACACCTGACTCTGTACTTAGGGATCACTACTGGCAGGATTCGGGAAACCATGTGTGGTGTGTGCCGGGGATCAAAGTCAGGCCAGTCACATAAGACAAAGGTCTTACTATCTCTTCAGCTTCACAAATGGGAATTTAAAAATCTGTAGCTCAGGGGCTGGAGCAATAGCACAGCGGGTAGGGCATTTGCCTTGCATGCGGCCAACCCAGATTCAATTCCCAGCATCCCATATGGTCCCCTGAGTACTGCCAGGGGTGATTCCTGAGCGCAGAGTCAGGAGTAACTCCTGTGCATTGCCGCGTGTGACCAAAAAAGCAAAAAAAAAAAATCTGTAACTGAAATACCAGTGATGCCCGCAAATATCAATAGGTGAAGATTGGGGGAAAACGGAATTGTAGGATAGTAAGTAGTCCATTAAAGTTCACATTGTGTGCGTGATCTGGTTATCTGGTTCTAACAATAACCACAGGAACGATGCTAACTTAACACCAGTTGTAGAATTTCAAGGCTTTCTGGTGGAAAATATTCTTTCTACCGGTTTTGTTTTCTATTTTGAGCCCCACCCGGCAGTGCTCAGGGCTTAATCCTGGCTCTGCACTCAGAGGTTGAACCCAGGTTGGCCACGTGCATGGCGAGTCCCTAAATGCCGTAATATCCCTCCAGCCCCTAGGATCAATTTTTAGGCTTTTTGTTTGTTTTTCCTTGCCATACCTGGTGCTCAGGAATCAGTCCTGGCTGGACAGCCCTGGCTGGACTTCAAGACACATGGGGTGCTAGGGATTGAGCCCAGGTCTGTTGTGTGCAAGGCAAACGCCCTAACTAATTGCTAATTACTCTGGACTTTAATTCACCTTTTTTAATTCCATTGTATAGTCTCACACAAGAGAGAATTGAGGGTTTTTTAATTTATTTTGTTTTGTTTTCTGTTTGGGGGTCACACCCAGCTTTGCTAAGGGGTTACTCCCGGCTCTGCACTCAGGAATTACTCCTAAAGGTGCTCGAGGGACCATATGGGATGTTGGGGATCCAACCTGGGTTAGCCAACTTCAGGACGGACACCCTACCTGCTGTACTATGTCACTCCAGCCCAAGATTTCTCCTTTTTCTAAGGAGCATTTTATTTCCTTTCAAATTTTTGTCTGCGGCAAAATAAATATTAAGGAGAAAGGCTCTCTCAGCAAGCCTGTGTTTTACCTGTCTTCGTCAAAAGGCCAACTGCACAAGTGTTGATGAGCTTGGTTGCTCTTTGGCGCCAGTACATTCTGCGGTGTCTGTTTGCTTTTTTAACGCCATACGCTACTCACAGGCTGTAAGGAATTTTTATTTGACTTCCTCATTTGAATCGAGCCAGCTGTCACTCCGTTGCTTTTGAAGCTGCTCTAGCTCGAACGGCACGGTTTGTAGAAGAAAGCTACTTGTCCGCCCAGTGTTTCTGACGGGCAGTGAACCCCGAATGCTCTGCCGGGCTTTGAGCAGACGGGGGAATGTTGAGTTGTGGTGTTCGTTTGGTCAGTGAATCTACCTGTATTTCCCCCCTTCCTTCGCACTGTGTTGTTGCGTTGAAGGGGGCTGCACACCTTGGGTTGTGGTGCCAGGGAGGCTGCCCACTCAGCTGTGTTGGGAACGCACTGCAGCGGGCCCTGAGTGCTTTCCGAGTGCTGGCTCCTTCCCCCCCACTCCCCCACCCCAGCGTGCCAGGGGTCGCACCGGGACTACTCACAGTGCCTGACAGGTGCTCCAACCTAGCCATACCCCGGCACAAGATGGACCCTTTTTCTTTAGTGTGCGTGTTTTGGGGCCACTACTGGTGTTGCTGGCGGGACAGGGGCATGCATGCTGGGAATCCAACGAAGCCTCCCGCAAGCCAAGCACACAGCCTGTTGGGTTATCTCCGGCCCTGCGTGTATCCTTTGAATTTTTTTCGTGTGGGAAGTACGAAAGGTGTGCCTTTCCAGCTCATTGCCTACTTGCACTAATATTTCCTGCACTCTGGATTTTAATGTAAATCTGAAGCCTTCAGCAGGTTCTTGTCTTGTTTGATGAAGAGAAAGTGACATAATGTAGTAGTTTATTCTGTTTGTTTCTAATTATAAAATGTTTAACTTGGGGCTGGAGCAATAATACAGTGGGTAGGGCGTTTGCCTTGCCCGTGGCCTGACCTGGGTTTGATCCTCAGAACCTCATGTGGTCCCCCGAGCCCCTCCAGGAGTACAGCCCTGAGCACTACCTTATGTGATCAAAAAATAATAAACTTCTTAAATATTTAACTTGAAGCCTTTGGTTTAATTGTCTTTGGTTTGTCTAAGGCCAGTCAGCAAACGAAACTTTTTTCCCTAAACTTGGAGGAAGAGCTTATAATTAAGTGCTTAAATAACATTTGTGGGACCCAAATAAAATATTTTAAAATGACTTTCTCACTTGCGTTTTTCTTTTACAGATTTTTTTTTTTAAGAAAAAAACATGCTTGATAATAAAAAATGCGTTACAGACTTTCTGTTCTAAAAATAGCATTGTGTCTCTATTAAAAATAGAGGCTGTCTGGGAAGAAAACCTAGAACCTGTTATTGCCTGTCTGAAGTGACGTCTGATTACATTTTTTGTCTTTTCTCTAGGATTACCGGACAAAACCTTTCTGCTGCAGTGCTTGTCCGTTTTCTTCAAAATTCTTCTCTGCCTACAAAAGTCATTTTCGGAATGTTCATAGTGAAGACTTTGAAAATAGGATTCTCCTTAATTGCCCCTACTGTACCTTCAATGCAGACAAAAAGACTCTGGAAACACACATTAAGATATTTCATGCTCCAAACGCCAGCGCACCAAGTAGCAGCCTCAGCACTTTCAAAGATAAAAGCAAAAATGATGGCCTTAAACCCAAGCAGGCTGAGAGTGTAGAGCAAGCTGTTTATTACTGTAAGAAGTGCACTTACCGAGATCCTCTTTATGAAATAGTTAGGAAGCACATTTACAGGGAACATTTTCAGCATGTCGCAGCACCTTACATAGCAAAGGCAGGTGAAAAGTCACTCAACGGTGCAGTCCCCCTGGGCTCCGGCGCCCGGGAAGAGGGTAGTATTCACTGCAAGCGATGCCTTTTCATGCCAAAGTCCTATGAAGCTTTGGTTCAGCATGTCATCGAAGACCACGAACGCATAGGCTATCAGGTCACTGCCATGATCGGGCACACAAATGTGGTAGTTCCCCGAGCCAAGCCTCTGATGCTCATCGCTCCCAAACCCCAAGAGAAGAAGGGCCTGGGACTCCCGTCGAGAATCGGTCCCCTTGCTTCCGGAAGTGTTAGGTCGTTGCCATCGCAGCAGATGGTAAACCGGCTCTCAATACCAAAGCCTAACTTAAATTCTACAGGAGTCAACATGATGTCCAATGTTCACCTCCAGCAGAACAACTACGGCGTCAAGTCCGTAGGGCAGGGCTATGGCGTTGGTCAGTCGATGCGGTTGGGGCTGGGTGGCAACGCCCCCGTGTCCATTCCTCAGCAGTCGCAGTCTGTGAAACAGTTGCTTCCCAGTGGAAACGGAAGGTCCTACGGGCTGGGGGCGGAGCAGAGGTCCCAGGCCCCGGCCAGGTACTCGCTGCAGTCGGCCAACGCCTCCGCGCTCCCGGCAGGCCAGCTCAAGTCCCCTTCCCTCTCCCAGTCGCAGGCCTCCCGAGTGTTGGGCCAGTCCAGTTCCAAACCAGCCGTGGCCGCCACGGGGCCGCCCCCGGGCAACACTTCCTCGACCCAGAAGTGGAAGATCTGTACGATCTGTAACGAGCTTTTTCCGGAAAATGTCTACAGCGTGCACTTCGAGAAAGAGCACAAGGCGGAGAAGGTCCCGGCGGTCGCGAACTACATTATGAAGATCCACAACTTCACTAGCAAATGCCTGTACTGCAACCGCTACTTGCCCACCGACACCCTGCTCAACCACATGCTGATTCACGGGCTGTCCTGCCCCTACTGCCGCTCGACCTTCAACGACGTGGAGAAGATGGCCGCCCACATGCGGATGGTTCACATCGACGAGGAGATGGGCCCGAAGACAGATTCCACGCTGAGCTTCGACCTGACGCTGCAGCAGGGCAGCCACACCAACATCCATCTCCTGGTGACCACGTACAACCTGAGGGACGCCCCTGCCGAGTCCGTCGCCTACCATGCCCAGAACAACCCGCCGGTCCCTCCAAAGCCACAGCCCAAAGTCCAGGAAAAGGCAGACGTCCCCGTTAAAAGTTCCCCTCAAGCTGCAGTGCCCTATAAAAAAGATGTGGGGAAAACCCTCTGCCCGCTCTGCTTTTCGATCCTGAAAGGACCCATCTCTGATGCACTTGCCCATCACTTGCGAGAGAGGCACCAGGTGATTCAGACAGTTCACCCGGTGGAGAAGAAGCTCACCTACAAATGCATCCATTGCCTTGGCGTGTATACCAGCAACATGACGGCCTCGACCATCACCCTGCATCTGGTTCACTGCAGGGGTGTGGGAAAGACCCAGAACGGCCAAGACAAGGCGGCCGCCCCCTCCCGGCTTAATCAGTCGCCGGGCCTGGCACCCGTGAAGCGCACTTACGAGCAAATGGAATTCCCCTTGCTGAAGAAGCGGAAGTTGGAGGATGATCGCGATTCCCCCAGCTTCTTCGAAGAGAAGCCCGAGGAGCCCGTTGTCTTAGCTTTAGACCCTAAGGGTCACGAAGACGATTCCTATGAAGCCAGGAAAAGCTTCCTCACAAAGTATTTCAACAAGCAGCCCTATCCTACCCGGAGGGAAATTGAGAAGTTGGCGGCCAGCCTGTGGTTGTGGAAGAGTGACATCGCTTCTCACTTCAGTAACAAGAGGAAGAAGTGTGTCCGAGACTGTGAAAAGTACAAGCCCGGGGTATTGTTGGGCTTCAACATGAAAGAGTTAAACAAAGTTAAGCATGAGATGGATTTTGATGCGGAGTGGCTCTTTGAGAACCACGATGAAAAGGATTCCAGAGTCACTGCTAGTAAAACCGCTGACAAAAAGCTCCACCTTGGGAAGGAAGAGGACAGTTCCTCAGATAGCTTTGAAAATTTAGAAGAAGAATCCAATGAAAGCGGTAGCCCTTTTGACTCTGTTTTTGAAGTGGAGCCTAAAATCCCTAATGATAACCCGGAGGAACACATACCGAAGGTCATTGCCGAAGATGCTTTGGAGTCGGAGGAGAAGCTAGACCAAAAAGAGGAGGAGGATGGTTCCAAGTACGAAGCGATTCACTTACCTGAGGAACCTGCCAAGCCAGTGCGCGACGCGTCCGACAGTGACGTCGACCAAGATGACGTGGAGTGGAAGGATGGTGCTTCCCCGCTGGAGAGTGGGCCTGGTTCCCAGCAGGCGTCCGACTTCGAGGACAACGCGTGTGAAATGAAACCAGGTACCTGGTCCGACGACTCTTCCCAGAGTGAGGACGCCAGGAGCAGTAAGCCGGCTGCCCAAAAAAAGGCTCCCATGCAGGGCGACGGAGAGCAGTTGAAGTGGAAGAATAGTTCCTATGGAAAAGTCGAAGGGTTTTGGTCCAAGGACCAGTCGCAGTGGAAGAACGCATCTGAGAGTGAGGAGCGCTTATCCAGCCCCCAGATCGAGTGGCAGAATAGCACAATTGACAGCGAGGACGGAGAGCAGTTCGACAACATGACTGACGGGGTAGCCGAGCCCATGCATGGCGGGTTAACTGGAGTCAAACTGAGCAGCCAGCAGGCATAAGTGTCCGGTTCCCTGGCACCCGGCGCGCCCTGCAGCGTGGAACTCCGTCCTCCTCTCGGTGTGACTGCACAGCTCCGTTCTTACTGGTACTGCCTTCTGAATGCTAGGTCATCGGGCTGGTGGGACGTGCGGCCACTTCAGTCCCAGTGCTTGACTAAGTCTTTGACACATGGTTGACTGATCTTGCCTCAGTACTTATTGTGACAGATAACAGTAACTAAATGTGAAAAACAAAAAACAAAAAAACAAAACATTAAGCTGGTGGCTCACGAACACACAAGAAAAGCAGAGGTTTATTTTATCTGCCTTTTCAAAAAACATTTCTTCCCTCTGTAAAATGTTCGGTTGAATGTCTTTGCGAGGCGTTGCTCTGGTTACATGGTAGTGTAGGGCCGACATACAAGCTACCAGTCTAATGTGTATAGTAGACTCTGGAGAAACCGATGTTTTTTTCATGTATTCATTCTGAATAGTCGAAATGTATATTTGTACAGTCTTTTAGACCTATTCAAGTGATGCTTATGATATTGTTACTGTGGACCCATCATAGATTTCTTTTTTAGTGTTGCCCTTGCTATGTAATAAACGCTGTATCTAGTTTACGTAGCAGAAAGCTTGAAATGCGCTAGTATGGACTTCTGAACAGACTTAGTTTTTGCACATACCCTTGTACAATCTTGCAACAGAGGCCAGCCACATAAGATATATATATCTGGACTCTCTTGTATTATAGACTTTTTCTTGTTCGGAATACCCTTGACATTACAGCTGATAAACAAAAACTGGTCTATCAGATCTGTTTTCTGAAACCTTTTAAGCTAAAAAACATTCAAGAATTGACTAATTTTGACACCTTTTAGACCTGTATGGAAGTGTGTTGTGTTGAAGCAGCAAGCCAATGACTGCTGCACTTTGGATATTGAGTTTTTTCTTTAGTTCCACACCACCCTGGTGTATTCATTTATACCATCTAATATATGACACACTGTTGTAGTATGTATAATTTTGTGATCTTTATTTCCCTTTGTATTCATTTTAAGCATCTAAATAAATTGCTGTATTGTGCTTAATGTAAATATTTGCTTTATTACACATTGCAGTTCTGTGTGTCCCTTCATCTTGTGCCAGTGGACGCCAGGGCGCTCCTCAGCGGAGATGGACGGACGCCGTCGCCGAGGGGCCTTGAGCATGGCCCCGATCTGCTGCTGGCGTAGAGAACGCTTGCTTTGAAGGCACCTGTTACAGATTCTTTGTTTTGTTTTCCTTTTGCTGAAATAAACATCCTTGAGTTTTTTTATTTCACTGTTGGTTAAGGAGCAGAGCCTGCGTATATCTGTAAATGTCTTTATGATAGGATGTAAACATAAATTGGCATTGATTTGCAAGCGGAATCTCAGTGCCCCGGTGTTCTTTTTATAAATGAAGTGAATGTTAGTGTTCACCTCGCAATGGGAACAGTTGTACAAAACAGAGGCAACTACTCTGCTTTTGTTAAGACACTCTTGACCGTCTCGGTGTAAGGGGAAAGGCTCTGGCGATGACGGCGGAATGAGCTCGAGGACTGTGGAGATGGAGGGAGTTGGTGTACTCACTATGCAGAGCCCCGGCTGCTGACGGTGGACGTTCCGGAGGCAGAGTGAGGTTACTTGGCGGCAGTAACAGTGACGGGAAACCCCCCTCTGTAGAGGGTGGGAGCTGGTTGGTCATTCCCGAGGAATTTGGGTCTAAAGAGTTAAGTGGCCACTTTCTTTAATTTCCAAGAGACTTTTTGTTGTTGTTGTTACCTTAGTAGATTTGACCAGCCACCCCTGAAAATTAAGCCACACTGAACACAAGAGAAAGTCCAAGAAGAGAATCTTTAGGATGTTTGGGGTATGGCGCTAGTTCAAATTTACAGGTAAATTATTGTTATAGATTCTGTGGATTCCAGGTAATGTTTGGGCAGGATGTATCCAAATTAGGATGCTGCAAATTACCAAACTAGAAAAAAACTGGCACTAGGAAAGTGCATGTCTGGTTTGGAAAAGGGTAATAGCCAGATTTGCACAGCTGTCTCTCAATTGTTTGGAAATGACTGCCTAGTGACGGTGGGTCCTGGCTAGACTGGATCAGTTGCCAGTGGATGTGTGTTCCTTGGTCGGATGGTAGACGTGGTCACCTCTGGCATTGGGAAACAAGTCAGCCACCTAGGAAGCAGAGTCCTGGCTGGAAATGTTGCAGAAACCCTAAGTGTCTCAATAAAAGCCATTTTTAAAGAATGTTGTTGTTGTGTTTCTTTTGGAATCATCCACAGATAAAAGCTGTGGCACTTCACCTAGAGCCTTGGGCAGACTGTTTGCCCTTCCTGTTCTTGTAGCTGTGAGTTTCAGGACCAGGATCTAGCATTTGAGTTTTCTCTCCCTTTTCTTGTTCTGTCACTGGCCTTTGGTGTGGAGCCATTCAGGATCTTTCACTGGACAGCCCTTTGTTCCTCTTTTTTTCCCCTCCTTTTGGGTCATACTTGACGATGCTCAGGAGTTACTCCGGCAGTGTTCAGGGGACCATATGGGATGCCGGGAATCGAACTTGGGTCAGCCGCATGCAAGGCAAACGCCCTTATCCACTGGGTTATTCCAACACCCTCTTACGTTTTTTAGCCACACCTAGGGATGTTCAGGGCTTACTCCTGACTGCACTCAGGACTGCCACTCCTAACGGTGCTTGGGAGACCATATAGGATGCCAGGCATTGAGCCCAGGTCAGTGTGGAACTGGCTTCAGCCAAAGCCCTTTGCTCCCTCTTAACACCGAGGCTTCTTGAATTGTGTATTGTCTTCTATAAAGTGCTCACTGTAGGAGCCCCAGGTTTGACAGGACCTTATGGCTGACGCGGTAGCACAGCAGGGGGGCATTTGTCTTGCATGTGGCCCACCCAGTTATCCCTGAGCTGAGCAAGGAGTAATCCTTGAGCACCATTGGGTGTGCCCCAACCACCACCTCTCCCACACACACCTCCCCTCCCCCCCGAAAAAAAATAGTTTGGGCGTACTGTGATTACCTGAAGCCTTTGCTAACTAACACTTAGGACTTGACAAAGTTGGGTGAGCCTGCCCCTGCTTTAGGGCTACGCCTTGGGCTCATTCCCAGTCTATTCTGGGGCTGATCCTAATTGTAAGCATGTTTTTTGGCCAATGATGCAGGAACATGTTAGGTCTCTAAACTTGCCTCTCCCCTAAGAAGAATGGGGAGTAGGTTACTCCCGTCTTCTGAAATGGTGACAAAAGTGACCCTAGGCAAGTCCAGAAGACTCAGCTGATATAAGTCAGAAAATGCATTTCTGCCAACTGCCGCTGTCTGGTCAGTTTGAAAGCAACCAAACCAACTGGGAAACCATGGTTTAGTATATTTTTTGCATCAATTTAACCCAAATCTCAGGGCTAAGGAGAGTACAGTGGGTAAGGCATTTGCCTTGGACACTGCCGACCCAGGTTCAATCCCTGGTGTCCCATATGATCTCTTGAGCCCTGCCAGGAGGATGGCTGAGTGCAGAATCAGGATTACTCCCGGAGCATCACCAACGGTAGCCTCCCCCTCAAAAAAAAAAAAAAATAGCCCAAACATCATAAACATTCACAAATGTTAAGTTGCAGCCTGCTTGGTTGTGTTGAACAAATTAGTAGAGCCTCGGGGGTTGCTTTTCAAGAATACTTATCTCAAAATTTCGATTAAAACTTTGTTGCTTCACCATTCAAGTAACTCACCCCAGGCCTGGGCGATAGTACAGCAGGTAGGGCATTTGCTTTGCAAGTGGCCGACCCAGGTTCTATCCCCAGCATTCCATGTGGTCCACCCAAGCACTGCCAGGAGTAATCGCTGAACATCGCTGGGTGTAACCAAAAAAAAAAAAAAAAAAAAAAAACCTCAGCCAAGGGCCCAGGGAGTGCCTTACAAGAGGCAGCCCCTTGATTCAGACCCCTGCCCCTGCGTACACTCTTTGAGCACTGCCAGATAAACTCGGGGACCAAGGAGGCAGAGAAGGTTAAGGGTGTAGTGAGAGGCTGAGTTTGGTTCCTGGTGTCTCAGCCCCCAAAGGGCGACCAGATGAAGCCATGGAGGCCCCCAGCCTACCAAATTTCGAGGCATATGGCCTTATTGGCTGAGTAGTAGAAATGGCCCTTGGATCCCCGGATTCCTGCTTGGAAGGGGCCCCGCCCCCGCACAAAAAATGGGAGAAAGATGTATATCTTGAAAAGTCCCTACGCCATCCTTTTATTTCAGGGTCACACCCGACAATGCTCAGGGGTTACTCTTGACTCAAGTTACTCTTGACTTACTCCTGGCAGTGCTCGAGGGAATGGGATGCTGGGGAATGAACCCGGTCAGCTGTGTGCAAACGCCTCCCTGCTGTACTATGGCTGCAGCCCCCAAACCATCTTTTTAAAGTGCTTCAACTCAGGACATGGAAAGGAAGGCTCAGTCCCTCAGGAATGGAATAAAGGTGGCTGCCGCTGAAGCCGCTGTAAAGGTGTTCTCCACTGTTGGCGATGGACCTGTAGATTGTCAGGCTGCAGATAGTGTTGTAAGACTCTCAACCTCACGTCTGGCCATAAGAATAATACCTCTGGGCTGGAGTGATAGTTCAGAGGACAGGGCGTTTGCCTTTCACACAACCAACAGGGTTCGATTCCCAGCATCCCCTATGGTCCCCTGAGCACCGCCAGGAGTGACCCCTGTGCATCTCCAGGTGTGACCCACCCAAAAAGCAAAAAAAAAAAAAAAAAGAATAATACCTCTGGGCTGGAGCGATATTTCAGAGGACAGGGCGTTTGCCTTGCACGCAACCAACAGAGTTCAATTCCCAGCATCCCCTATGGTCCCCCGAGCACTGCCAGGAGTAACTCCTGAGTGTATGAGCCAGGACCTACCCCTGAGCATCACCAGTGTGACCCAAAAAGCAAAAAAGAAAATTGTACTTCCATTGTCTTCACTAACTGAAGCAAAGGGAAGCATCCTAGAAAGTCATTCAGATTTTGGAAATGAGAGTGG